ACACAAGTTATCTACACTCTAGTATCGTTATTAGTAACAACCTTCACCTCATTACACAAGTTATCTACACTCTAGTATCGTTATTAGTAACAACCTTGACCTCATTACACAAGTTATCTACACTCTAGTATCGTTATTAGTAGCAACCCTGACCTTATTACACAAGTTATCTACACATTAGTTTCGTTATTAGTAACAACCCTAACCTCATTACACAAGTTATCTACACTCTAGTATCGTTATTAGTAACAACCTGGACCTCATTACACAAGTTATCTACACTCTAGTATCGTTATTAGTAACAACCCTGACCTCATTACACAAGTTATCTATACTCTAGTATCGTTATTAGTAACAACCTTGACCTCATTACACAAGTTATATACACTCTAGTATCGTTATTAGTAACAACCTTGACCTCATTACACAAGTTATATACACTCTAGTATCGTTATTAGTAACAACCTTGACCTCATTACACAAGTTATCTACACTCTAGTATCGTTATTAATAACGACCTTCACCTCATTACACAAGTTATCTACACTCTAGTATCGTTATTAATAACGACCTTGACCTCATTACACGAGTTATCTACACTCTATTATCGTTATTAGTAACAACCTTGACCTCATTACACACGTTATGTACACTCTAGTATCGTTATTAGTAACAACCTTGACCTTATCACACAAGTTATGTACACTCTAGTATCGTTATTAATAACAACCTTGACCTCATCACACAAGTTATGTACACTCTAGTATCGTTATTAGTAATAACCTTGACCTCATTACACAAGTTATCTACACTATAGTATCGTTATTAGTAACAACCCTGACCTCATTATACAAGTTATGTACACTCTAGTATCGTTATTAATAACGACCTTCACCTTATTACACAAGTTATGTACACTCTAGTATCGTTATTAATAACAACCTTCACCTCATTACACAAGTTATCTACACTCTAGTATCGTTATTAGTACCAACATTGACCTCATTACACAAGTTATCTACACTCTAGTATCGTTATTAATAACAACCTTGACCTCATTACACAAGTTATCTACACTCTAGTATTGTTATTAGTAACAACCCTGACCTCATTACACAAGTTATCTACACTCTAGTATCGTTATTAGTGACAACCTTGACCTTATTACACAAGTTATCTACACTCTAGTATCGTTATTAGTAATAACCTTGACCTCATTACACAAGTTATCTACACTCTAGTATCGTTATTAGTAACAACCCTTACCTCATTACACAAGTTATCTACACTCTAGTATCGTTATTAGTAACAACCCTGACCTC